TTTCAACAAGACAAGGCGCCCTGCCACACATCCCGACATACCATGAAATGGTTCCAAGACCAAGGGGTTCAGGTGCTGGACTGGCCTGGAAACAGTCCAGATCTGAATCCGATAGAAAATTTGTGGAACATGATGAAGAGACGGGTGGCACGGTGCAACCCTAGCAGTTTGCATGACTTAAAACAGCAGATCATGCATGCTTGGTGCAATGAAGTCACTTCTGAGGAGTGCCTCAGGCTCATCGAGTCAATGCCTAGGAGAATCTCGGCAGTGATGAGGAATTGTGGATATCCAGCAAAGTACTTCCTTATTCATTGCTTCCTGTGTGCTCGTGAATAAATTGTCATCAACATTGAGAAACTGCTCTGTATTTTGACTCATGCTTGCTAACATTTGCATGTTTTTCCTCCACTAGGTTAAATGATCATATTTTGGAAATACTCCTACTTGCATATTTCAGTAGCTACAGATAATAGCTTTGGCAGAATAGCAAATTTATGAACAATGATGTGTTTGTACAATTGTTTGACACGTTTACATTGCATATAATTGCAACGTAGGCATTTTAATCATACAACTAATCATAAAACTTCTCCAAAAATGGATTACCATAAACTTTCTGCTGGCACTGTACATAATGGCAGGCTTATGTATAGTTGGGTCCAAGGTACTATTTGCTATTCACCCCAACCTCCCTGTAGGTCACATTCTATGTATACTTACATCAACAGATATATCAAGAAGTCTCCTCAAAAAAAGAGCTTCTGCTTACAATTAGAGTTAAGTCTAATATTTATTGTTGACTGGGGGCTAGTTTGTTGGTCAAGGCCTGCCTAGGACCTACCTTAACTTTGGTGGTTTCTCGAAGGAGCTGACCGCGTCTCTTGATATATAGGTTTTCTGCAAGAGAAAGAAATTTCCATGTAAATCAAGAGTAATTATGCAGAAATCTTTGGACCTATTATGAAGAGATTTCTATAATATGACAATGGGTACATGAGCATAATGATGAGAATGGTTACACATAGCCTATCATTGAATATATGGTTGGACCATGACTCATCAGTACTTTGAACCAATATAAGACACATAAGTCTGATCACAACACTAAATCTGATACAATGTAGTCACAATCATCCTCAGCAGAGACCTTAAAGAGAGTCTTAATGGATTTATTGCAGCTACTTCAGTGCATATTATGGCTGCATGGCATACCAATGTAATTGAAATATTGAGATAGGGATACATGCCAGAACATTAAATAATCCATTCCCTATTCATGAGTCCCAAGGATGAATTTCATGATGTTCAACTTGAACTCAAATCATGTCAATGTTTGATGAGAAGGACATATACCACTTCAACCAGGACAATCCTCCATTCAAATCAAATGGTTTTTGTTTTACATACTATGGGAAAAAAAAGAACTTCCTCCATCCACTCCCAACAGGTATCAAGGCACTGGCAACTAGTCTGTTAATCATGCCAACTCATTTGACAAGTATCTAAAACAGCTTATGTGGCTACTCAATGTCATATACTTGCATGCTACATAAGGTTCTCTACACTCTCTCATTGCTTCCCATCTCATTCCATATGAAACAGGAAGCCATGTTCAGTCTTCAAAAATCTCCATATCAAAGTTATGATTTACTAATGCTTGGAAAGGTTCAATTTCCATGTCAGTCACTTCAGCAGGACTAGAGCTAAAATTATGGCAGTGAAAATTAGCCTTCTCAAATGAAACCCAGAGACTGGAAAGGTCCATGCTAGAGCTACTGCCATAATATTAGATTCAAATCTTTCCAAGTCCTTTAACTTAAAGTGATGAAAATTGTTATACTGAATTTATGCTAACATTTAGCTAGGAGAATATAACTGATCAAAATTCTTAAGATGACCAAGCAGGTTCAGCAAAGATATTTATTGAGACGTCGAGAAGGATTTCAGCCCACAAGGACATCTGGAGTCTAAGTCATGCGCTCCTCCTATCCTTTCCCATCTCGAGCTTCAGGATATTTCACTAGCTGATTAGGCCTAACGTTTGCCCTACCCGTAACGAGGGAATGCCTCCCCAGTAAGCGCTTCTGCACATTGCCAAATTTAAGACTCGGTCTAACATTGTGCCTGTACGCACACAGACATTTTGTAGCCCAAGATCCGAAAATAACTCACTGAAATGCGGATTCTCAGGGGCTCTGTAAGCACTGTACTTGGCATCCAGAGCCAAGATTTGAAGCCAGGCCTCACTTCGAGGCCGAGCAGTCGTCATTTCAGGCTGAAAGCACAGAAACACCTCGCTTAAACAAGCGAAATCACGGTCAACAAAAGACTGCCAATGCCACCGATGGAGAGTGGAACAGATGTTGTTATAGCACGTGGATCACATGTGGGCCGCCATATTGGATTCTGTATGTATAAGGGTTGCCATATCCTTGGTCCCTACGACTCCAGGAAAATTTTTCAGCGCATTCTAGGCTTCCTAAAGAAAGTGAATCCTTTATTGGCTACCATGTGAATGATAAGAGCCTAATCCTACAGCGCGTGCTCCATTTGGCCCTCAACGAATTTATCGTTTCCACTTCATGAGAACCTTCTAGCCTACCTTCTCCCCAACCGAACTCTCATGGGAACAATTTACATGGCAATCTCCGGCCCAAAGTAGTTAGGCAAGACAGTTCGTAAATCAACCATGCGTTCTTAGTGCCTCACTTTTCTTGATTTTTCGCACTGCATGCCGTCCAGATGAAAAATCTCATAGGCTAAAAAAACTATTTTATTGAAGTGATTTTAATTGTAAGTTCTCATTTGGTTCACCACAAAAGCCCAGTTCACGGAAATTTTTCATCCGAACGTGAACGCATCCTTAAGCACCTGCTAGTCCAGTCGTAATTTAGAGGCAACAGTTGATCATAGTTTCAACGGCAGAGTCAATTTTCAATCAGGTAAGCCTAAACGGGAAAGTTACCGGTGGATCTTTCATGGTAAACCGGAGCGATGCATTGGGCAGCCAAGGAAACGTCTCGCCTTGCACTCGTGTCATGACAGTAAAAGAAGCAACTGGCCGTTCGCTCTTCCAAATAGGTATGAAGGCATGAATAGTTCTTCCGGAAGATGAGAGATGGCGCTAGTGCGCCAGTAAGAACATATCCGCAGAGACACAAGCGTCACCTCTCTATTGTCAGAAGAACTGGAAATGCGTGTGAATGCCTGAGATGTCCCTCGAATCGCGTGTTGCTCCACGTCGTTCCTCTCGCTCCTGCGGCAGTTCCTTTCCTCAGGTCTCAGCCGATCGGAATGCCAGGAGGGAATGCGAGGCATCGGGGCATTTTCTGGCGCGAACCGCGAAAGTTCCATGCGGAGCGTGAACTCCGATTTTTCGCAATTTTTTAATCGAGTGGCGTTAATGGATGAGTGCAGAAGGCCCACTCGACTTTTCTTTACGTTGCGTCTTTTCTAACGCGTTTACGCGATCGGTTCCCCTCGGCCACTGATATTTCTAGTGCGAATGGCACGCTTGCATCGCTGCCACTCGAACGCGAAAGCCAAGATCGGGGCCGCGCGCTCAGAGTAGGCCTAGAAACCCGAACCCATCACGCCCCTGCACTCCCGATCCCCGCAGCCAGCAAGTCTGTCTCTGTCTGTCTCTGTCTGTCTCTGTCTGTCTCTGCCGAGACAGACGACAGGGAGAGACGCACGGCTCGAATGCCCTTCACCATCGCGCGAATCTCCGAACCCTCTGAAATTCGCGCAGTGATTCCGAGGGCAACGTTATAAAATTCGGCTGAAAGGTCCCCCCGTCCAACCCACTCGCCATCCCCGCCATCTACCTCGTGCCTCGCGAACCTCCCCCTCCACCCCCATCCGCAAGATGCCTAGACCATAGCCCAACCTCTCCCCTCCCCCCTTCACCTCATTCCCCTTCGGACTCGCCGGACACCACACACTCCTCCCCGCTCCTCCCGCTCCTCCCCGCTCCTCCCGCTCCTCCCGCTCCTCCCGCTCCTCCCCTCACCTGCCCAGCTTCATTCATCGGGGCATGATTCTCCCGCTGCAACAACAAACTCGCTCTTCCACCGCCACTCATTTCCTCCGAGTTTCGGAAGCAGCCAAGTTCATCCTTCCTCCCAATCATCGCGAAGCCTAACGAAACCTAACGAAGCCCAACGAAGCCCGGATATCCCCCTTAAACCCGGAAAACCTTCATTCAAGCGAGGTGAGCCTCAATCATCCCTCAATCGTCCCTCATTCATCCCTCATTCATCCCTCATTCATCCCTCATTCAGGAAAATGAAAAACGGAACCACCTCGATGAGTCGTTGCATCTTCGCGCAAATCGAGAATCGCCCGAGAAAAGGATTCAAATTTCGCCATCGATAAAAAAAAAGCGGACACTTTTTAGTCGCTCGAGAATTATCCCTTCTTTCGAACGGTGAAAAACCAATCAAATCCAGCATTACCAAGCAATTAATTCTAAAAAAAGGTGGTCAGAACTCCTGACCCACCCTGCAGCCCTCTTTCCTTGTGGGCCTGGCCGATGGCCTGGAATGGCACGTCATCGTTGGCCTCGCCACCACAACTTTCGGCCTCTTTCAATTAACATATTAGGCTGTCGATCGATTTAAAATGTTAATCGATTAATCGTGAGCCACTTAATCGATTAACCTGCCAATTCATCGAATTTCAATCCTTTCCGCATTCGCACTTTTCGGTCGCATAGCAGAATATGAACTGCACATTAAAATTATAAAGGGAAAAAGAGGCATTCAGGGGGGGATTAGAATTCTATTAATTTCAATTAATTTTTAAAATCGCGATTAATACCTTCATCGATTAATCATATCGAATTGACAGCCCTTATTTGCATATTTATATTTATATTTATATTTATATTTATATTTATATTTATATTTACATTTATATTTATATTTACATTTACATTTACATTTATATTTATATTTATATTTATATTTATATTTATATTTATATTCATATTTATATTTATATTTATATTTTATTGATATTGATATTTATATTTATATTGATATTTATATTTATATTTATATTTATATTTATATTTATATTTTATTGATATTTATATTTATTGCTATTGTCGCGCCTTCGGCGCTCCATTCCCTGGAAAGCGATTAATTCAATTATTTACTTTCAAAGTGGCCAAAACATTTTAAACATATGGAATGTGTATCGAGAGAGAACAAACCGATACTTCCATCGGAATAATTGCTCCCATTGTTTCTCGTGTGCCTAACTTCAAATCTCTTCATAATCTGCTCCGAGGAGCCATATTTGAAAAGTAGTACTTAGCAGTACTTTAACGGGTACTTCTGCTCCAAGTTTCAACTTTCTTTAGTTCTTTCCTTCATCGAATCCGAAAAGTTTCCGGAAAATGCACCTTTTGCAACAAAAAAATATGCCCTCAAGGGTTTTACGTAAAAATTAACATTTTTTACTGAAATCAGTACTCGGAGTACTCAGTACTGCAAACCAAGTTTCAACCTTGTCTGTTTGCTCTAATTGCTGGTGCAAAAATATATTTGGGAAAACCGATACAGCCAAAAGCTGGGCATGCGTCACGAAACTTGAATTTTTTCTGAACTCGCCATCGCCGCAGTTATTGCTGTGTCGAGTTTCGCCTTTTTATCTCTGGCCAAATCGGTAGAACTAAAAAAAAATTGCATCTGAAACTTGACGTTTTCCCTGAACTTTGTGTATCAAATATATCTAATTAAAAACATCTCCCCCATAAAAGGGTGTCCCCAGGGCATGTATCTCCAAAGTCGGATTTTTTCTCAACTCTGCATCCCAAAAGGTACATGTGTACCACGTTTCAGATTTATACCTTATCTAGAACATGGTTAGAATTAGCGTCAGTCAGTCACGAACGTCAATATATATATATATATATATAATATTTATATTTATATTTATGTGCATATGTATATATATATTTATATTTACACATTGATTCGATGGAAGCATTATGTATCTGCAGGGGGAGGGGGGCTTCAGGAGGAGTAAACATCGAGAGGAGTCTCGGTTCCCTCTCGGCCCGAGAAACTCCCGACGAAATGCGCCTGCGGATTCTCCCCGTGTTTATATCGACGTCCGAAGGACGGAGGAAAGGTCCTTCGAGGGCAAGGCGAAGGACCTTCGACGAGCACAAGGCGAAGGCCCCTCGACGAGAACGAGGCGAAGGTCACCCTAACGAGGACGAGGTCGTCCAACGAGGACGAGGTCGCTCGACGAGGGCAAGGCAAGGTCCTTCGACGATGGCCTCGATGGCCTCGATGGCCTCCGTGGCCTCGATGGCCTCGCGCATCGACGGAGTCGACTGGAGCCTTCCGTCGCGTGCAGGAGAATTTCGCGTCGACGGGAGGACGGAGAACGCGTGAAAACGGACGGGGAAGACGTACGCGCACGATTCCGTGGAGACGAGATCCCGGGGAGTCTCCGCGCATCCAGCCGTCTCGGCATCCAGGCTTTCTCCTCCCCAGAGTTTGGCTCGGACCGGATCGATGGGCGGAGGAGCCTGCGCCGCGCAGAGGAAAAAGGCCCGCTCCCTTCCTTCCTCGTCGCAGTCCCGCGGCGTAGGTCAACCGTTCTCGCCTCATGGCCGAGTGACCCCCCCCCCCCCCCCCCCACGACATACTCTTCATCGGCAAGACACGTACGCCTCCCGGTTTCCTCCCGGTTTCCTCCCTCCCGTTCGTGTTAAGCTGCGGAACGTGCAGGAACGCGGTGGGTGGTCCGCTTCGTTTACTCGCTTCTTTCGCTCTCGTTTAACTCCAGATGGAGCCGCGGTAACGCTCGCCGTCCGCGTTCGCGAAGGCGAGTTTTTCTTCCCGACGGGAGACGCAGTCGCGGCGACCGAAATCCCCGACGTGCGGCATCTCGTGTCGCGAAGGAAACGGCCGGAAATTCGACGCGTCGCTAATAATTCGAGGCGGAAGGAGGCGAAGGCGCGGCGGGCCATTTTTATATATCCATTATCATCCATCATTTAGCAGGAAGCTAAACGTCGTGAGAACAGGCTGAACATTGTGTAAACATCGTGTTAATAGGTTTGCATCGTGTTAATAGGTTTTGCATCGTGTTAATAGGTTTGCATCGTGTTAATAGGTTTACATCCAGCAAATTGCGTCCAGCCGGCGGGAAAATCGCAGAATTTATCGCGTAGGATGCGCCAAATGCGAAAAATCTGAATTTGAAGCGATTTTCACCTGCCAAAAAAAGGCCTTCGAAATGCCATTTTCTGCGATCGATATATGGCATTTCGAAGGCCTTTTATGGCAGTTGAACCTATTTCCGAAGCCTATTTCTTCGCTTTCCTCGTGGGTCAAATCGGGTCACCGAACTTCATCGTAAGCTCCTCGAAACATTTCCGGATCGGCGCCAAATCGGGACGACAAGGACGTAATTACTCGGGGTGAGACTCTTCGGGGCCGGGGGGGGGGGGAAATCGTCTCCTTCCAGGAAACAGCGAATCGTGCCAAGACATGCCAAAAATTTCAGTCTTTTTTTTTCCTTCGACATCCTGGATGTTTAGCTCGTGTTTATCCGGATCTATCCAAACACCTGCACGGTTTGGCCAATCGGAATGCAGAGTCCTCACACGAGTCTGCCGAATTTCCACATCGCCAAATTCGGTCACATTCCACAGCTTACATTCCTCCCCTTGCCCCCTTGCCCCCCCTTTGCCCCCCTTGCCCCCCTTGCCCTCACCTCACACTGCCAACTTCCTTCCAGGCCCACCCATCTCGACCCGGAAGCCCCACGGATGCACTCCTTGATCGGCTACCACGGCGCCCGGTGCCTCCCCCCCTGGCGGTACCCGGGCGTCGCCCGGTCCCCCCGGGTCTTCTGGGTCGGCCACTCGGAGAGGACCCCCCCCAGCCCCCCGGATGGGTCCTCTGGCGTCCCGCACAACGCTCGTCGTCACAAGCCCGGCTCCGTTCTCAGGTGAGAATCCACGTAATTACGGTGAAATGTTAATTGTCGTCGAATGGCTCTCTTCCGAGGGCGAGTCGATGAAATGAATTACTCCTCTCGCGCTTTTCGGATCTCCAATAAAAGACACTATTGTGCTCTAATGATCCTTGAGCCCGCCCGCTAACTGTGCTCCTCACGCAATTATGTGAGGGCAACGGTTTGTTTGAAAAACTTGTCAACTTGTCAAACTTTTAAGGCAGGAGTCCTAAAAAGTGTGGATTTGCCTCCATTGCAACAGAAGTTATGAATATTTTCTTATTTATGAAAAAAAAAACTGATGCACGAGAGGATTAAACCATCTTCGTCGACCAATACGAACCGTGACGCAAAGAGACTTGAATCTTGATAATGGGGGGGGGGTTAGCTCCGCCGAAATAAGAAAAAGAGAGATTGCGAAGCGGGAGATTGGGAGAATAGAGGGGATTGGGGGAGGAAAAGGAGGAGGGGGGAGGGAGGGGGGGAGGGGGGGGGGAGGGGGGGTGAGTGCCCTCACCCCGCCCCGAGTGCCACTTCGGGGGAGTTGGGGTTCAGGCTCCCTTGGGTTCTAGTTTTGAGGCCTCGGTGGGTGGCTGGAAACCCTCTGAAACCTATGGGTTGCGTCACTGGAATACGCTTCGGTGTGACCTCGAGGCACGGAGGCCACCTCCGTGCCTTTTTGGTGCGAGGGAATGCAGAAAGAAACGGGAATTCCCGAGAACGTCTCGCTTCGCGTGCCGTTCGTTCCTGCTTTGCATGCGAGGGCGGAACGTGTAAGAGAGCATGCGCTTAGGAGAGAACGAAAGCCGGATGGAGAACTGGAATCCGGCAAGGGCTCTTTCGAGGGTCTCTCTCTCTCTCAGCACGCAGCTAGGAATCACGAAAGCATGGAAAGATTGAGTGTTTTCCGTTCGGAAAACTTTTTTTTACGAAGTGCGTCTGGCTCAGTAAGAGCATCGGGTTTTACCCTTCCGTAGCGAGGAGGCTGAGTTACGCTCCAGCCCACAACTTCTCGTGACCTTCGATTGAAACACTGTATCGAATAACGGCACAAAATCTGTTTCCCAGGACGCGGGACAATGAGGGTCCAAGCAGGTGGGGAGGAGGAGGAGGAGGTGGAGGGTTTCATCACAGCGGTCACCGAGCCGGCGGACACTGTCGTTCCGCGTGTCCCTTTAACGCGACCGGAGAAGCACGAGGACGAATGCAAGGACAAAGGCAAGCCGCGCAGGAGGACCCGCAACCCCTGCTGATGGACCCAGTGGGACCATCCCTCCCGTATCCTCAGTGCAATCAGGATCGACAGAGCGTGGCTCGAATCATCGGGAGGACGAACCTCTGTGCCGGGCGTCCGAACAAGTTCCTCTGGCTCTGCTTCGCCTCCATGGCGATCGTGCTCATGAGCCTCTTCATGGTCCGCTCCCACACCCATCTCATCATGATGGGACTGGTCGGGGTGTTCATCCTCCTTCTCTGCTCCATCGTGACCCGCGCCAAGGCCGGCCTCCTCGAGCCCGGCGCGAGCGAATCCTCCCCCCTCCCCCGCCCCCTCGTCGAGGTCCACAGGATCTCCCCAGAGAGAATCAGCGTCGACGACGGTCCCTCGTCTCCGCGTCGGTCGGAGACCGGCTCCGAACCCCCGCCGTATCACATGGCTCTGCATCTACCCGAGCCGGAGAAGTCTCCCTCGCCGTCTCCGTCTGTGATCGCAAGACCCGAGACTCCTCCTCCTCCCTATGAACTCAGTCTCGGTGTACCTTGATCTCAGTGCACCTCGATCCGGCTTCTTTTTTTTACACGTCTCTTACGATTCCGTTCTGAGTGGAACGAGTATCTTGTCCTGATAAAAGATACGATTCTGGTGCCAAATCGTTTCCGTGAAATTGGTGCGAAAACGCTGCAGGCGAAGACGAAGTCCTGTACCTGGATCCGTGCAGGAATGACCAGTTTCTAAGCAGTGGAAGAAACAGTCAGTTCCTCTATCCGTTTCGGCTCACAGGTGTGAAGCCACATCTGCAGCAAAGCAACTTTGTCAGACGGACATGAAACCCATCGGCAGTTTGCAGAACCTAGATTGCAACCCGACGCGAGTGAATTGTTCGTAAACGTCTCTCCAATTTAGGTAGAGCTCAGATATGCCAACACAGAAGCCACACACGAGGCAGCGTCTACGACAATGAGAACACGAGAGGCAAAGAAAAAAAAAAAAGGATTTCGATCGTTTCATTGCATCACCATCAGCAGAAAGAGGTTTACCTTCCCTCCCGGAAGCCATCAGCCGAAACCATTAGCCAACTGGCAGCTTTCTCACTCCCTTCGCAGCTGCGTTTCGGATGTCAGTCGATGGGGATGCGCCTGGATGGGATGTCGCATTTCTCGCGAGACTCGAGGACGCTCCGTCCGCTGGGACTTCATCGTATTTTTTAGACGCACGAAGTCCACTTAATATTCATGCTGGTATTCATGCATGGTGAGAACTCATCGTTCCGGAAAGAATTAAAGAAAACTCCCAGAGGGAGTGGGGGGGTTATGTTATGTCTTTGAAGGGGAAGCAGAAAATTTCCAATATGGTTTACGAGACAAGATTGCTCTTTATGCTTTATTACTCTTTTTCCATTATTGCTTTTTCTTCTTTATTACTTTCCCTCCATAATTGTTTTAGCAACAAATTCTATTAAAGTTAGTTCAATTCGTATTACTGGGCAACACGTTGAAAGAAGTAAAGAAAAATTGAAACCGCCGCGGTCGAAGAGGAATTCCGAATGTGTCCGCATTTTTTTCTAAAGGTTTTCTGAACGTTAAAGAAAAAACCAAGAAAGGAACAAAAGGGACGGGGAAAATGGCTTGGTTGCATGCGTCGAGTCGATCAGGCTTCTTTGAGACCTGAGAGCTTGTTCTCTCAAGTAAATGCATTTTATACGATTTCCTGGAAGGGACAAGGAACAAAGGGCGCAAAAGGAAGTTCCATTAGCGAGTCACTCCCATGTGTCCAGAATACTTGAGAGAGAGCAAATTAGTCATTAATTCCAAATCGATTGAATGCATTTTTTTAAATGCACATATATTTACTTTTTCCGCCTCTTCTACTAAATATAATTTTCTCATCAGTGAAAGGACACACTTCGTGTGGCAATATTTAATTTAATGGATTTCCATACACAACGATGTAGGCGATATTACACGAGGAAAATCAAGATCTCTCAATTCCTTCATGAAATAATTATTTTGAGCTGTCACTTGGGATGACAATCATTGCCATGTATTTATTTCAAAATTCACATTGATAAAATTCACATAAAATTCACATTGATGCAAAACCTGTGCCTGTCTTTGATGCACAAAAAAGAAACGGTCCAATATTTGAAGCGGCTCCCGCGCAAGTCATTTGTGAGCTTGGGCGGGGCCTTCACTTCTTCCCCCCCCCCCCCCTAAATAAGAGATAGAAGACGAAAGCAATCAGGATCTTCATCGTGGGGACTGTATTCATCTGGGTGTTCTTCCTATAGAGACACTTGCTTAATGAAATTATTTTCCAAGAACACGCAACATGAGTCAATGTTGAACCAGATTGATTGATCGTGATCCCGATGAGCAATTTCGCGGAGAGACGAGGTCGAAGTGCAACGAAACCGATTCGTCAGAAGAGGCGCGCTTCCCCATCGCGAAGTGGGATTAACACCAGCAAAGGAGCATTGTAGCTTCCTGGCCATGCTCTGCTTCGGCGACTTTGCAAAAAAAAAAAAAACAAATGCGCCATCGGAAAAACGAAGCTTCGTGA